AGATTGAATGGTAATTTATAATCAGTCACAAGAACGTCGAATCTGAATCACTTGAAAAAAACACGGGGGTGCTTAACTTTTTTCCAGGTGTATATGTATCATTCTAAAGTATCATAATAGTTTGAATTTACTTTTATTCATGCAAGTAGTCCTAACAATTTGACAAAAAGACGTCCATAGTAAAATGTTTAAGATTAAAATATAAGATACTGAAACTATAATTAACCATATTTTTCTGTTAATGAAACATAAAAATATTGATAAAATTGATTAATTTTGGAGAAAAATTAAACGGGAAGTAACTAAATCGAGCGTTATATCTAATTCCATGGCACTTCGAATGCTGAATATTAGCATTTTAAACCTGACGCTTACCATTGAGTCACCGGGGGCGAATTTTTGGCTATAAGTAAAAATTTTCATACTCATTCATATCAAATGTACAGGTTTTGGAAACTTACAATACTCTGATAAAGTATTTAAGACTACTAACAAACATACTGGTCTGTTTGTTGTTTTTACGCGCAAAAGTGCACGAGGGCTATTTGCACTAGTATTTAATTTTGAAGTGATAGACTAGAAGGAAGACAGTTTAGCATCATTCACCGCCAACTTCTAGGTTACTTTTTATCCACAAATAGTGAGATTAACTGTCACATTATAAAACACTCGCGTCTGAAAAGGCGAACATGTTTCGACCTCATGACCCACAAATCGAGAGTCGAGCGTCATAATCAACAGACCATGTTAGGCCAACATATTTGTTCCGGTAATTTGTGCCATTTCTTATGACACAAACATTTAACATTCATATTTTGTAATTTTACGAGTAATATCAAAAAAAAAAGTTTCATGGAAATAGTTGAGTAAGTCACAACAACAATTAATACAAACAAATTACTATTCACTGACGTTACTTTTCAAACAACAATGGAAATTTTACTAAAATGTAAAAAAAAAAAGGCTAAATGTTTACTTTAGAAGAAAAAAAGGTGTTTTAGAAATGCAATGAATTAAGATACGAAACGAAAAAATAATATTGTACAAATATATATATATCATCCCCAAGATTACTGAAGATATATAACTATATTTTTAAGTATGTAACAAGTGAAGATCAATGAAGATGAATCTGTAGTGTCTGTCAATAGATCCTCGTTTCAAACTGGGGAAAAATTGTCCTTTTAGCAGGACATTCGGCAAATCAATCCTGTGAAGGCATGCGCAGTTCTGCGATAACGTTAATGATCCCAACTCAAGCTGTGCAGTTCTATTTGCTTGTATTTCTTTTTTAGTTGTTGATCACCTTAATGGTCTACTTTTACAAAAGTTAGTGATTAATAAGTACAATATTAAAATATGAATAATTTAAATTCATATACAACATGACCTTCCTCATGTCATCCTGTATCACTGTGTCAAGTTTGGTGCTGATTGATCAAGAAATATGGAAACGTATAAGGAACAGAAACACACACACACACATATATATGTATATTGACTTTTATTTATATAGATTTACACACAGGGTTTATCATACTTTATTTGAATTATTTTACATATGCTAATGTAGCGGAGTACCACCGCAGATGAGAACCATGGCGCCACGACATGTTTAACACATATGTGGGCCGAGCACTACCCAGTGATTAGCATGCCAGACTCTAGATCCTGGGCTCACATCCCGTTACCACAAAAAATTATGTTGTGTGCATTGAGACCATTGGTGCGTTATATGAGTAATTGTCATATCCCACTATTTGATTAGAGTAGCCCATGAATTAATGGTAGGTGGTGTTAATTAGCTACCTTATCTCTAGTACACGACTTTAAATTTAGAGACAGCTAGCGCAAATAGCCCACGAGTAGCTTTGTGCAAAATTCAAAAAACAACAACAACCGAACCGGGCTATTATATAGAGTTATTTATCATATTCTAACATACTATAATAGTTTGAAGTGTAATAAACATAGAGCTATAACATTTGGTAGATGAACTAATGTAATCCTATTTCTCACCATCCTCTTGACTCATCTGTCAGATATTATAGTTTTATGATGATCAGTTTTCGTACTATGGATAGTATAATAGCTAACTAACCAACCATTCGACAATTCAATACTGCAACGGACAGCCATTTGGCTGGATAGTGTTCAAAATATTCATACAGAAAGATTATTAAACAATGTAATACCACATGACACATGATTTTGTAAAGGAAACCCGGGTATTCCCCATGGAAATTAAACAGTTCGTACATAAGTGTTTTTGACAGCAATGGACTTAAAAACTGTACCCCAACCAAATCAATACGCCTTACTCACAAAACAAGGGTACTGGTTACGAAAGAGAACCTTCCAACCTAAACATCTAATGCAATTAAATTGGGCATATTATTACTTGGCACCATTAAAAACACAATAAAGAATAATCTGAAATTGGCAAAAGTTCACAAACTAAAAGTTACCAGGCTCTCACCGCAAGTATTTTTATAAAAAACATGGCCGAATAAACTGGAATCATAGCTTTCACATTTGACTACATGTTTATCAAATCTTTTGATAGCTTTAGTGAACTTTTATGCCTTTGGTTTGCTTAAACTTGGTCTCGGAAGCTTAAATACATAAGCAATGGAGAATCTTTATAAAGTTTGTCAGAATGATTAATCTCGCCGTCTTTCGTATAACTTAAAGTTGTTACAATGAAAACTGCAAAAGTCAAAATCTATAAAGAGTGGTAGGGGAATGAAATGGATGACGAAGCTACATTGGGGGGTCCGGGGACGTGCATCTTCAAAAGTTTGTAGTTTTCACTGCAAATGGTGGGTTTTGATAGCATTAGAGACTCTACATCCCTTAAATGCTCTATCAACATGTATTAATGCACTTCTGAGGGCTAGATTGTGCTCTCTACTTATGCGCATGTAAAACTCTGTACTTTTAAGCTCACAGAGGCATTTTCTCACGCTTACAACCTCAAATTCATTAAAATAGAGTAACATCCCAATTACTGGTTTCGCACAAAACAAGAAATTCAGTCACTTTCGGAAGGACCTTTCAAAATGGCGTTATCATTTGTGTGTGTGTGCGCGCTTTATCTATTGTATTTTTATCTTTCTTGGTATGATAATTAAAAAAACTTTAAATATCATTTTTTTATTCATATAAACGAATTACTGGGATTTATGAAAAATCATAATCAAACATAACTTGAATAATCTAGCCATAGGTACTTTTCATATCAATACATTCTAAATCCGTAAGTCCCGTGAAATTAAACCACTACCAATCAACTGGTTTGGTTCACACATTTCTTAGGTAAGTCTATTAATTTATTTTTTTCCTGTTTCAATACGGTATCTTAGGTTGACCTGCCTATTTCAGAGCCACTGAAATTTCATTTTCTTACTTCACATAAATACTTGTAACGTTCTTGATATATGGTACCACCCAAACGGCGGAATTTCAATAAATACAGCTGACTTTTTAAAATATCTATACACTGCGACACAACGGCATATCAAGTTCTCCTTATACCTACTTTCTTCATCTCAATACCTTGAATACTTCAAGGTCATCCAGTTTACAAACAAGGGTTAATCTCCAGGATCCCTTATAAGGTCGGAACCACCATCTCAAAAACTGTTACCTTCATTTGGAAGGCATTTCGCAGCTTTGTAGAATGTTTCTAAGGCCAACAATTATGTTTAGGTTTTGATACATAATTTCTATAGTTACGCATTTCCCTTCAGAATTTATGTTTCTACAGATAAATCTTTTACTGCTAAAAGTTGCTAATGCGAAATGTTAAACTCTGAACATTTTTTTTTTTATTTTATCTACGCAAGGAAACGTCTTTTTCGAGAAATAATTCTTAAATTAACGAGATCGCATTGGCCTAATTTTGAAAGCCTTAAATTTAAGCCAATATTTACTTATCCTGAGTGTAATATGTTGTACTCAAATTTCACGTAGTAAAACAAAGGAATCTTACGGGTAAGTATGTAAACACGTTAACATGGTCAACCACGTATTTATTTCTTTAAGACCTTATGATAGAATCTGGTCACACGTATTGATAAATGGATGACGTCATTTGTTTAAGTAACATGTAACAATAAATTACGGAATTTTAAACTATAATGCGCGCGACTTGAAATATAGGGTGTAAAATTATTGGGTGATGATGATGAAAATAATTAATTTAAAACGAGTCTAACTAAACGAACCTCGTAACCCCAAAGATCAGCTTTATTAACCGACGTTTCGCTTTACAGCTTCAACTTGAATATGGGCGATGTCTTTGAGCTCCTATCCCAGAAGTATAAAGCGAAACGTAGGTTACTACTTCCTGGAGTTATAAAGTTGTTTTTATTACTCCAGGTTATACCTTATAATGATCTGTTGTAGCTTTTTTTTTTCTTTTTCTTTTTAGTGAAAAGATCTTACATGATTGTATGACACTTGATGCTATACCAAAATTTCGTTCAAAAACTTAAATAGCAACTAATCTACCTTAAGTCTGTGATTAAAATAAGGGTAACTGCGGATTTTTTTTCTCCTTAATTTGTCCACTGCAAATTATAAATCAGAAGCGCTTAAAAATAGCATTTCAGATCTACCTTTCGTCTCCCACAAATGAATTTTAATGCTTCATCGGCTTTTGGGAGTTTAAACCATAACCTACCTTTATTTTAAAATATTTTAATCTGATGTTTAAAGAACTTTGTGAAAGTTAGTATTTTCCTCAATTTAATCTACTACTCTGACACCTACTGGTGGTTATCCAAAAATTTATTATTGAAGCTGCTAGCCAATTTAATCTTACACAACTTTATCAGAATCCGATTACAAAAAGCTTACAATGAATGCAATCTAGTTATACTGTTATCACAGGGACCACAAAACTATCTACATTGACAAAGGATCCTACACAAACTGATCCACATATGAGGACTGACTACATCTCTTAAGAATAATAAACACCTCAGGTACATATTAAATTGTGCAACGTTTAAAATTTCTGTTAAAGATTCTGTCTGAATGCAATTGCTAAGTATCAGTTTTTTCCTAACAAAGACATGACTTAATTAATTTTACATAAAAAAAAGCCTAAACTACACATTAAAACAAACAAAGCAAAATTAAACTCATGTGAGTAACAAATAAGTGACAAAAGTTAAATCATTTAAAATCTTAAAATAATAAAAAGCTTCAAATTCTTTACAATTTAAGGTATTTAGAAGAGGAAAATCTATTTTAAAACTCTTACTCTTCAGGGTGGAACAAAAAGTTTTTTTTTTTAAGTTTTTTCATTTCCTATTTACAGTGATATACATATCTTTAAATAATAACGTTCAGCATGTACATTAGCATCGTTCTTGCATTACGTTTGATGTCAGTAGACAACCAGCCTTTGGGTTAATTTTTAGATCATTTTTACCAATATTGTTTGGAAACTTCTGGGTATATAAAAAAAACCTTTAATTTCCAGCACAACTGTGATGATGAAGAAAAAAAAGAAGGGCTCTCCACATCAAAATTTGATAAATTAATTAATGTTCTAAGTATAACCTTGCAATAGACTCTTTGAAAATAACTGTAATTTTAGTTAACAGTTAAAATTGTGAAAAAAAAAAAGCTTGAGGTCATCAACAAACAGCAGTTTTCTGATCTTAACAGAAAAAACAACATGATCTAATACAAACTGCTGTCATTCCTAGTAATTTCAATCTATAAAACACAAACACTATACATATTCTGTGATACGAAAACATTATATTAAAACAACTGGATCTTATGATTCATAGTTGAACACATACATTAAAATGAATTCAATCAAGTAGACAGAGATAATTTATGATAAAATTATATCAGAACTTGTAAGTTTGTTCTTCACATCTTATGAACTCAGGCAGTTTTTCTCCATATAATTATTTTTCAATTCAGAAAAAAAATTATCATCATAAAAAGTTTCATTCACATCTAATTGTTCAGTTTTAAACCCTTAAACTTACGAGCAAAAAGAGAATCACACACAAACCACATCACTAAACATTATTCTCTTAACCACTGAAAACTGGACAGAAATATTGATTGTTCCATCATATTTATCAACTGAAAGTGTAATTAACTCAGATTTAATAATACAGAAAATATCACCTGGAAAAGAAAATCTAAAGACCTAAACAAATCACAGTTGTCCTCAATTAAAAACTACCCACTTTTCAGAAGAAATCAGAAATTGATATACATTTTCTAAAATAAATAACACTTGCTACACACTGAACCTAAATTCAATTTAATCTTTTGGTAAGTATTTTTGTCATTATATATATATATTCTTTTTCTTTTAACAACTTGTTACTGAACTGAAAAGGTTAATATTTACAATCCAATACTTAAACATGCATATGTTAGAACAATAAACAAAACACTTTTACATGAAGCTATAAATATTCTACTGACACCCCCCCCTCCCCAATTCCAACCTTTATAAACACCAAAAGCTGCATCATGAAAGTCAGTGTTAACTATGCTTTAGAAGTACAGAAGGTCTCCATGACAATATTAAGGATGATACCATAAAATGTAACTACAATTCAGCAGCTACCTAAGTTAGAAGATTTTATCCACTGGTATTCTGTAGGCTGAAAATACAGTACAAATAATATAATATTAAAACAATGCAAACCTCTATACATCTAATTTAAAATATTCACTGTGTTCAACATTATATTCATCTATTAGCATGCTATTTAATCAAGAGGAAAATAACTAACTAGTAAACAAGTTATACATCTTATATGACAATAATTTATCTTATATCATTTACTGTACTGCAATTAAGGAGACTTAACCAAAACAACAATTTAAATGTATTTTAATTGGTTTAAGACATTCATACTGATAATAATATTCACAACATACAAGTACATACACATAACAAAAATAAACAAACATCATATAAAGAAATTTTATAAACAGAATTACTGAAAATCATGAAATACCAAAAATCACCTGAAAATAAAGTAAATATTTTAAAGTGTGTAAAATGTTGATGAAGTTAGACACACAATAAAGAGCCACTAAGTAAAATTGAAATGGATTATCCTCAAAGATAGGTCAGAAAATGTTCAATTAAAGATGACCGATATTGCAAACTAGCTAGAGGAAGTAGCTTACAGTTTATATCTGCTTAAGTCAGAACTATACAAATAATGATACTAATAAGTTTCATAAAAAATACTAACCAATCTATTTTCTTATACATGAAAATAATAAAAATGTAAGCTGAATGTAAAATATTTTTCTGCAAATTCTCCCTGTTTTTACACAAGTCTTCTAACAGTATTAAAATTTCCTTAAACTTAAATATATTTTTCTAAAAATATTCAAAACAGTATTCACGGCACCATTTTAGTCCTCAAGAATGAAACCAAACTAAAACTTCTAAATCAAATCAATTTTATTTAATATTATATCACTTTCTTTCTTCTAAACTTTGGACTTAAAATCTCAAAAATGTATCATAATTAAGATACTTTTATACAGACAACACACTGCAGTTCTGTAGACAACTGCTGATATTTGCATGACAATCTACGTCCACTGTACTCAATCTTTGATGTACAGACACCATGAAATGGCTGCATAATTACATAAAAGACACTGCAGCATAGTGTATAGATTCCATACTGACTTGCCAATATAAAAACAATAATTCAGGTGTTCCATGAACAAAATATTGCAGAAACATTTTATTTAAATGTTTTTGTTCTCTAAAAATACACTGTTAAGAAAATACTCGTTATTCAAGGTTCAATATTTCTCAAGAAAATCACAGATTTTTACCATACCCTCACAATAAAGGCTCCAAAGATTAAAATTATTCCTTCATCTTTTACTGTATGGGAACGGGTTGCCAACAGCATGGTTTCAGTGACAAAACCTAATAGTCAATATAGTTTATTTTTTACCTATTTCCCCCTATATCTTTTCTCGTTTTCTTTCAATTTCTACCCTTTTCTATGACCCAGAATTCTTCCCAAATATTCTAATTCTCAAAATTATTCCAGTTAATAGTTACTTTCATCCACTATTAATATTTTTCTAATTTTTTATTTTTAGTACTAGAAAACATTTTTACTACAATTCAGACATTAAAAACGAGTCCAACTGAATCTACAGATTGAGTGCCCTAATGGTTATTTTTATCTGATATCAATATTTTCTCATTTTTATCACTAGAAAACATTCTTACCTCCATTCAGACATCAAAAGAGAGTCAATTTGACTTTACAGATTGAGTGCCCGAGGTCGCAAGTTGCCCATTAATCGACGAGCTTGCTCGGTCAATTCTATTTGGTCCTTTGTCTTGCCACAAGCCACCATTTCCCACCTCATATCAAGCTAAAATTATCACAATCAGAAATAGTATGGTATTTATGATGAGGATGCTTTAGTTTAAATATTAATCAAATAGGTTTTCACAAAATTAAAATGAACATTTATGATAGCTCTTTTCTGATAGGTGTTCACTCCAAAATATCATGAGAAAAACCAAACTGGAAAAGTTACTCTTTCACATGATATTAAATTTCACACTGAATCTGAGATGGTTCTGATCAATATGTTCTATCTATTGAACAAAATCAGATAATCGATCATTACAAACAACTTAAACACAACTGCAGCCAATGTAATTTTACAATTTTATCAACCTATCCTGTTGTAATGTCTTTAAATATAATATCTTCTAGCTTGAAACTATGTCACGAAACAATGACAGTGCTAGTTTATTTTTAGAAGTTACAACTTTTACAGTAAGGGTAAATATTTCATTAAACAGGTACAATGTTTTGATCATTCCTGCAATCCTTAACAAGTACTTGTGATTGCACCAGCAATCAAAATGTTGTACCTGTTTAAAACATGTTCTTTCTTACTGTAAAAGCTGTTCAAAAATACTTATAATCAGTAAATAAACTAAAACAAAACTATTAATAATGGTAGCAATCTTTCAACAATTTAGAAAAAGAGGGTACTGTTTCTTTCACATTTATCTTAATGATAAAAATAAAAATCCAGAAAACAGAAGACATAAGCAACAAACAAAACACAATTAAACATGGTATTAGTAATAAGCAGAGAAACTAAATATACTGCAAACTAACCTTCAGTAAAGATTTTTTGCAAGGTGTTTCCTCAGAGCTTACGTGTTGTGCTATTCGAGAGTAGTGAAGCTTGTGCTGTAAGAAAGGGATCAACAGTGTGTTTAGGCAAGCATGCAGTGCAAGGTGAAGTGGAATTGTGAGAACAAGTACAATTTCAAGTTTCAAAATAGCAGCTAGAACAACTACTATACATACCCAAGAAATAATTTAAAAATGCTGAGAAAAAATCATCTATTTCTATAATATAGTAAAAAATAAATAAATTAATGCAAAATAAGAGGAGATACTTGTATGATCATACTACTGTACTTATGAGAATGTATTCTAATACTTAGAACTTTAAATGTCTCCAACAATCAAGTTTTTATTAACAAATAACAAAAAAGTATTTTTACTTACATTTGTTATAGTGCCTTAAAAAGTAAGGGAATAAATCATTAAATGATCTTTCCTAACATATGAAAGTATCAACATGCTTGAAACAGTAGTATTTCAGTTACTGTTTAAACATATAAATGTTTTATGTTTGTGATACATTTCGATCATTTAACTCATCAACACCACAAACTGTTTAGCAGTTAAAAAACACTGACATTACCTTTTGTTTTGGAATGGCTGAATCAGTAGGTGCAATAAAGGCATTGTTAAATGTTTCACTTTCTTCTGGTAAAGTTTCCTTAATTATAGATGGTGGAGAAAAGAGAACTGATAAATCTCCCATCAAAGACTTGCTCTAATGTAAACAAACAGAAAATAATGAACATTAGGTTTATATTATTCTAAAATATTTGTTAAGATATGTTTGTACCATAGACAGAGATGGAAGTTATGGCCTTTTAAATATCATCATTCTGCAAGACATTTCTTTATGTGCATTCACTTCCAAGGGATTATTAGTGAACATATCAACAAATTGAACAAATGAACAGTAACATTACAGACTCAGAAATAAGTATTCATCTTGTTTTGTCCTACAAGGACTAAAAAATCAGATATTTAAATTTTTTTAAAACACTCCATTCTAAATAACCATCTTTGTAAAAAAAAAACATGGATATGTAAATGAAAAATAAACAAGAAATATAAGCTTATAAAACTTATGTTGAATGCTGAAAAAAGCTAAACAAGTTTAAATATAACAATAAGTATAGACAAACACTGGTGTTATTTTTATATCTTAATTTATTTATTTATTTTCTTGGCCTACTGATATATCAATTTTTTGAGGCAATCAAAAGTGAACCATGGATCCAACCCTCAAATCAACAGTCCAGCACACTAGCTACTAAGCTAAGACCACCCCCTGCATCAAGAGACTACATAGTACGAAAAATACACAAGTTTAACCACCAACAGTTCAAGGATTCACTCAAACTTGCCCTTAAGGATAATCATTATGTCATAAATGGTCAGCTTTATGACCAAACAGATGGTGTGGCAATGGGGTCATCTTTAGGACCGACTAACATGTTCCTTTGTCCTTATGAGCATTCTTGGTTAGACACTTGTAATGCTGAATACAAACCAGCTTTATATAGAAGGTATATTGACAATACATTTTTACTCTTTTGAAGCTTTAATCACATCAAACAATTCTTGAATTATTTAACTTCAAAACACCCTAACAGTAATTTTACTTGTGAAACTAAAAAAATAAAAAAAATGGTAAATCGCCTTTTCTTAATATCCAAATTAACAGATTAGATAACCAGTTTACAACATCAGTTTATCATAAGAAAACATAAATAGGCTTACATACTGTAGTTTACTTAATATTCACAGGAATTATCTTTCACAGTTTTACTCTGAAACTTGTTTTGTGGGTTTTTAACTTTCACAGAAAAATTAAATTCAGAAAAAAAGTTTTTAGACATCATTCTGTTTTTGTAAGCAACATTTTTCATACTCTAAGCCTTTGCATTCATGCTGTGCAACTGAACTGAAGTGTTGGTAATCCACCTATTGAAAGCCATGAACTTGTATGGGCGCGTTAAGGTAGGCATTGCATGTACTTAACTGACTACAGGTTACATCTCATTGCTTGCTGTTTCCAGATTACAAGTTATTATTACCTGCATATAGTATATTCAGAACTGTTACTCAAATGGCTAGGTGGGTATAAAATATCAAACAACGAAATAAATAATATATAATACTTGCTTGTAAATATCTGTTTGTGTTTCATTTATTATTTATTACTCATAAAAAGCCTTTTATTTCACTGGAACTATCATTTGCAGAAACATAAGTACTGCAAAAATAGTGAAAGTTAATTCCATGCAAATAATAAGTAACTTAAAGTACTTGTTCTGACAGTTTTATTTTGATCTCCTTTAAACGTAACCTTATATTCAGTCTTCTCAATAGAGTATATAACATCTGTTCTGACCACCTCTCTCTTCGTACTGAAATAACCACCTTACAGAATATTCTAATAAACAACGACTATTCTTTGCATTTTATTCAAGCCCTAACACACACATTCCTTTCTAACAAAATTAAACCCCCAAAGAAACCATATACTATAGACAAGTACCCATTAAAAATGATCATCTTCTTTTTTTTTTTTGTTTCATATTGAAGTTACAAATTTTAAGAATAATTAAACCCCCCAATCCACAGGTTAAACTACAAATGACATTTAAGTCACCTTTGAAGATTCAAAAATTATTCAGGTCTAAAGGCCTGTTACCTAAACTTACGTGTTTCAGAATCGTGTATAAATACATATGGTAGCTGTAATTCCACTTAAATTGGAAAAACTATACACCAATTACACCTGTGAATGTATGGGAGTATCAAGCAGGTCTGGTAAGCAACTATCAAATCCTCCAGACTCTACGCAACCACTCCACCTTGATTTAAAATTTCAAAGTCATCTCATCTGAATCACCCAATATTGAACATTTAATTAAAGAAAATTTATCTATTATAAATGAACCCCCAACTTTGAATAATAACACAACTTCACTACAATTAAGTCTGTTTTGAATAACCTGTATGATATTGTTCAATTGTCGCACTATCCTTTTTTTTAATTGACTTCATCCTTTTACTCTGTATTTTAATTCATCTTCACAAAATGCTAGAACTTTAGAAATTAAAAATATTTTTGTACCTAATATTATAATATTTAATATAGTTTGCTGAAGATGGAATATGTACATTCCAAAACATTCAAGAATTAAATGTTTGTTACCATTACACATATCAAATGCTTGTTGTTGTTGTTGCCTTCATACTATCATTCATATATAACACATGTTCACAGCTCTTAATGTTCTAAAGTAAATTATGACCATCCAAATATTGAAAAAAATGTCTTTGTGTTAAATAGTTTTACGTGAAGAATGTAGTGTTAAATAAATAAAACTAAGCCCAAAAATTCTACACAAGCCTTTTAACCTTGAAAATTCAAGAGACTGGCAGTTCAAGCAATTTATTTCCAGAAATGTGGACAATCTTATAATTGAAATTTCCATCACTGATCCCACACAAGCCTCAGTTGTTGTTTTTTTTATCATGTGTTTAAAAAGAACTCCAACAGTCATGAAAAAATAGGACTAGTAAGGAGGAAAAATATTTACACTGACAAAACAATAATAGGCTGTGCTTATTCACAAAACTAAGGCTAGGCTTATTCATAAGATCCTAAGGCTAAAATTAAGATTACATGAAACTGAGGTTAGTTATAATAAAACAGTCCTTTGACCAGAAGCAAAACAGTGCTTTTGGGTGGCAGGACAAAGAGCAAGAAATCTCAATAATTGTTTCTTGAAGGTGTAGCTCACATTGTTGGAAAGTCCAAAATCTGCAGTATCCAAATATACAGTCCATATTATGGTAAAGTATTTCACTCAGGAGTTATGAGAGCCAAAGAAAAACAGGATTTCAAAGTAGACGCACCAAAGGGTCACACACAAATTTATTAGTTCACTTTTTGATTCTCAAATTATGCAACCTTTCTTTGTTATCTGGTTGAGTTTCGAGATCTTAATTTTCATTTTATGACCTGGCAGAAGGCAACTACTACTACTACAATTAAATTATAGATTTTTTATGTCCAATCCCTGCTAATTAGGCACCTTTGGTTGAGGAAGAGATCATGTGTTGACACCCAAATGAGGTTAACAAACAAAAACTTAACTAGAAGCTATCTCAAAACTTACTGGTGTTTCTGGGTCCACTGGAAAAGATTCATTCACACTAGTTCCTAGTCCAGGAACTATAACTTCTCCAGGAATGGACCAGGTTGAGTGAAGAGCTTTGCAAATCTTCTTGTTTGGAAAAAGATTCTGTAAACAAGTATTAATGGTTATCATACTAAGGCATTATTTTGATGAAAAATAAAAAAGTTAATAAAAATGTGGGTAGCCTTTCCTCAACCATAAAATAACTTCTTAAAACTTTTGTGTTATTTGAAAATCTGGTATTAAAATGAACTGCATTATCCCAAATTGAGAGAGGTGGAGGTTAACTAGCAAAAGATGCTATGTCACACAGAGTATGAGTGTGGAACCATATGGCAATTATTCAAACAGAATTATAGTACTTTGGTTTTTAGTGATAATGTTTAATATCCTTATCCAAAATTTGTAAAACAAGAACACATATAAGCCACACAAACAAATATCTTATGGTACATACTTTCATGTTCTTAAACTATTTCTTTAACAACACACTAAAATTGAGTCTAGTTAGTTATTATCTTAAAAATAAGTGAAAGGACCAATATACAGATTTCAGTAAAACAAACACACTTTGACAAAACTTTTAGTTACCTCTTTGTTTTCTTTCCTTTTCACAGTAAAATAGCCACTATCATTAAGTGAGTAGCTGGAAAAAGGCAATGCTGATATGTCATTAAACTGAGGCTTAAAGTTAGAGGATGACTCTTGTTTGATTAATTCATGAATATCTTCAAGTTGGTGTGATGGTGAATGAAGCTGAAACAGTAAGTACATTGCCATGAAATAAGTCTGTATACATACAAGTATCTTGTAAAAGGTATTTGTATTTTTTCAATCACAGAAGAGAAACTATGCCATAATGTTATTCATCCTCATAAATTAAACACTTTTTTTTTAAATTCCTAAGTTTCACAGTTTCCTTACAGTCATACATAATAAACATGATACAGAATTATTATTCTTTCTGGTAGATTCTGTTTGTCCAACAAGCAAGTTGGGATTTGTTCTCTTGTGATATAACTTAGAAGCAGGGTTGGTTATTAAAATTAAAAGGTGAGATCCCTATTTTTACATTTTATTTACTCTTATAATAATAAATATAGAATAAACACAAACATACATACATACACACACACACACAGAGAAAAAAAGTTAAAAGTTAAATATGAACTTAAAAATTTTATCTTGAACAAAAACCATTTTCAAAATCACATAGGTCTGGTAATTAATAAAATATTTTCCTGTTTAAAAGTCATAGAATAATTTCCTCATTGTAAGAAATGAACAGCGTAACTTGCTTTCATTATAAAAATAATTATGACATATAATTAAAATTACATAAAATTAGTTACATTTTATACAATTCTAAAATCAAAATAAAGAACTGTTTAATTTCTATTTACAAATCCTTTTTTAATCAAAATATTTCTTGAAAAAACAAATATTCAAGTGTAAAAAAGCCAAAATCATAAAAAGTTATCAAAAAGATGTTTTTTTTTTCAAAAATACATCCAACTAAAAATGAAAATATTACATCGACTAAATATTTTAGCTTTTCCCAAGACCTTAATTCTAAAAGTACAGTTGGATCTACATGTTTAATCTGGCTATTTAAACATATTTTTTAAAGCATTTAACAGCCAAGTTGTTTGTGGGTTCATAACTTTGTTGGATACAGGGTCCAATATATAAACACATGAGGCACACAAGAAATGTTAACAAAAACACCATCAATACTACAGTTAATGCCATTAACTACTTCTGGAGCCCTTATGTATTTTTGTTTGTTTTTTTTTATACAGAAAATGAGTTATTTCACCCAATTCTTTCCACTGAGTATTGTAACACTTAAAAACATAAGATCATTCACTGTGACATAATATGTGGACCCCACTGACAGTGAACAACATAAGTCAGTTATTTGAAGGTTAAAATGTCTTCTAGGAAGGAATAATAAAAAAATATATCTTAATGGACTATCTTTTGTAAAAACAATTAAATCTATATAATTACTCACTGTGTGCTTCAGAGGCCCACTTTTTTTTTCTATTTCAGCCAGAGCATCCTTAAAAGGTGTTGGGGTGTGGGGTATAGATTCTCTTAAGAATCGACTCGATTTAGGAGTCTGGAGGCTACTGTGAGTAGGAAATAATAAAATATTTGTAGGAGATTGATAACACAAAATAAAAAAAATACTTAGGAATTTAAATATAAAAAACATTTCAAAAACAATTGCTTTAGTTTGTATCCTCAAGAACTAAGAATATTTGATAACTTAATTAAAAATATATGTCTCTAGCCTTTAGAGACCTAATAATTATATGGCTGAAGTTGAAAAAAAAAAATTATCAAGATATATGGTTTGTAGAACCTTTCTTCAATAAAATGTACCATAAATCAATCATATACAAAGCTTAATATTTTGGAAAATTTCCCAATTTTTCCTAGCTCCTGGGAATTCAAAATGTCTGGACATCAAAAGGTTAAAAGAAATAAAATCCTTATGGTAACACACTGGTTGTCTAGTCAACAAAAACATTTCTCTTACATCTTAATTTTCTATAAATTATCAGGAAGGGACATGTAGACAAATGTTATTACCAGTAGTTTTACTAGTAGAGAACACTCCTTCCCAGTTCTCTAGGGTTGATGAAGAGCCTTATAAGGCAGAACAAATGGAAATAACTAGCAATAATTTGAAATATATTTTATAAAATCTCAACTTAGCTCTCTCAATACAGGCTCAGCCAGTTTGACCAACCGCATGACCTCTTTGTACTCATTCAAAGTTCTTTATATATTTCATACTTCTAACTTTTAATACAGTCTGTATACCTTCACGAAATTTGGCAGTCTTTCAGTAAACATTACAAGTCTTTCACATACACAAAATCATATTTTTTTAGTGAAGTACTTTTAATAAACTGAAAAAAGATCTGTCCATGAATATATCAAGCTTTTGTTTTGAATAGTCCGTATGCAAAGTGATTTTCATGTTAAGATTGGAAATACTTTTCTTCATCTCAAAAATTTCAAATTTCATTTGTGCAATCTCTAAAACCTCCTAAATACATTTCATATGTTTGTTTTCAATAAAACTTTATATTTTATTTATCCTAACTCTATACAACGTTGGTCAGTTTGACTGACCTCATAACCACCCAAAAAAAAATCTAATTTTCTTTCTAGAATGACTTCAAATTGTAATATGAAATGGCATTCGTTTATCCTAAGTAGCTTTAAGTTTGTAATAGTATACATCTATTTATAATTAAATTTTATTTATCTTTGTCCTTTGAACTATGTTTACGTACTATACTATTTTTCTTACATACAGTGAGCAACTAAATGACAGTAAAATATATATGTTATCTATTAATGCATTTTAGTATTATACAACATGATTATAAATACAGGGTGTTTCAAAAATATTGCTCCATAGGGAAATGAGACTTTAGAGTCAACATATTGAACAAATCATTTGCTAAGTCTAATTTTCCTATGGGGTAAGACTCTGAATACATACTTGAAATATTTACTTGTTATCAAGATGGTGTTTTTAAAGTATAGGGTGTCCTAAAATCTGGCTCCATAGACAACTGTCTTGACAAATGATATATTAAAAATGTTGTTTTTAGAGCATCATTTCTATGAGGAACTATACTCTGATAACACCCTATGGTAACAGTTAAATATTTTTATTATGAGGTCAATGACTACTAGTTAACTTTATAAAAAAATCTGAATTGTAAATATATATATAACACACTCGTGCCTTTGTATGGTAAATTATATGTTTGTTTGTTTGTTTTGAATTTCGCGCAAAGCTACACGAGGGCTATCTGCGCTAGCCGTCCCTAATTTAGCAGTGTAGGACTAGAGGGAGGGCAGCTAGTCATCACCACCCACCACCAACTCTTGGGCTACTCTTTTACCAACGAATAGTGGGATTGACCGTCACATTATAATGCCCCCACAGCTGAAAGGGCGAGCATGTTTGGTGTGAGAGGGATTCGGGTAAATTATATGACCAATCAAATCTTATAGTATCAGTTAAAATGTTTTAGTATATCATACTCTACTTTTCTAAAGTTACAGTACTGCTCTCAAAATGCTTTAAAATTTGAAAAAGACACCTACAAAGATGTAAAGACAAACTGCACATTCTATAATAATTCTACATTCATGTGGCAGTTATGTATCTAGACTTAATGCTTAATCAAAAATGTTATCATTCAAATAATGTCATGTATCTTTTCTACTCTAAACTAGATAGTTCTTTACCTTCCTGGTTGAGTCTGTGAAAGCAGACAATCCTGTAGAAGACTGGCATGGGAAGATCTATTGCTCACAGGTGTAGATGTCAGGTTCATGCCACGAGAAATGTTGGGACTGTTCAAGAACTAGATCAAATTTCATTTTTCAGTTAACAGTTTTAAACATTTCATACAATGTTTATTTCATTTCTCTCATTTGACCAAAAATTTGTAATTAAATTAACTTTAAACATGACAGTTTGAAAATATAAAAGAAATTATTGGGATTTTTTTTTTACATGATAAGCTTCAACATGCACTTTTATAGAACAATTAACTGCACTTATATACTCTATTATGTGATTCAATTGTTTTAAGCAATCTGACAGCATAATTTGCTTTATGACAATTACTTTATTTGCACATATCCATCATCACATCGTATAATTTACACATCACAGAATACAACTGGAAAGTTCAGAGGTGAATTTATATAACCCCTTAATTATTTAAAAATATTGTAAAGCAGAAAATGGGATCAAAGCTTGTCTTGTATTTTTGCATGGAGCAGAAGTATGTGACCCATACATGACAACTCACCTACTATTCAGACTTTTATAAAGACAATCCAAATCACTTCAGCTAGCACTAACAATATTAAATTGACTTAAACCACATACCCTCTACTTAAGTTAGTTTAATATATAAATGGAGTTACTACTGACAAACACTGTATGCTATACATTATCTAGTTTCTACTAATGACTTACCTGAGATGGTGAAAAGGGCAGCTGTTTGATAGGAGTTTCCTTGGCTGGTGTCTTGGTCATAACAGTAGGTAGATTAGTTGAAAATGCAGATGATACTGTCTGATTTATTAGTGGAAATTGGGAATTAGATTTTCCATATACTTCTGCTGAGAAAACATTCTGAAAACTTAACACAGATGGTTTGGTTTCAACTGCAGTTGAAGCAGTAGCCACAGAAGTAATATTCCAGTACTGCAAAGCTGGCCCTGCTGTAGAAGATTCACATAACTGTGCCTGCTGTGTAATTACACCAAATGCTGGCTGACCCATTTTTGTTTCAGAATCTGTGTTTATTACTGGAGTGTGAGAATACTCTCCTAACAAAGAACTTGTATCTTGCTGACTGTTCATTAGCGGATGCTAGATTAGCTGTCAAGGACAGAATGTAAGTGTAGTCTAACAGATGGTTTTCAATGATAACTTTACTTCAACAGGATGCTAGATTAGCTAAGAACAGAATGTAAGTGTAGTCTAACAGATGGTTTTCAATGATAAATTTACCTCAACAGGATGCTAGATTAGCTAAGAACAGAATGTAAGTGTAGTCTAACAGATGGTTTTCAATGATAACTTTACCTCAACAGGATCAGGATGCTAGATTAGCTAAGAACAGAATGTAAGTGTAGTCTAACAGATGGTTTTCAATGATAACTTTACCTCAACAGGATGCTAGATTAGCTAAGAACAGAATTTAAGTGTAGTCTAATAAATGGCAGGATGCTAGATTAGCTAAGAACAGAATGTAAGTGTAGTCTAACAGATGGTTTTCAAAAATAAATTTATCTCAACAGTGAAATAAAGACTTAATTGGATAGAATATCATTAATAGAATAACAACCTATACTTAAGCTAAGTTGAAATGAACAAAATAATAAAGGATACATTTTTTCTTCGTTTACCTCTACGCAAGATGGGTGGAGTAACTTGTTTTGATGTGCTAGAAATAGCTGCATGGATTAATCCTTCGATTACTGTTTGGTCTACTTCCTCATTATCATTGTTACCTGCACAATATAAGTTGGTTAACAGCATCCTAAGTTTGCTCTCAAGAACCTATCATCACTCTAACTCCAAAATATGGGTAAAGAACATAGTGAGGATTTAATGCTAAACTAAATACATGTTTATAGGAAAGACTTCTTAGAAAATATGACAGTTTATTAATTGCAACAAAACAGATGAAGATGCTTTAAATATAACTCTTTCACAAACAACTATGAATTACATAGGATAACTGCTCAAAAAGCATGTAACATTAGATTATAAGTATTTTTAAATTAATGTTCTAAAAGGTTCAAAGAAGAACATTAAATAATACCTAAAGTCCAATCTATCATTTGATTTACTAGTCATCACTGAGTGATATATATATCAGTTTCCTGGAATTATATCTCTCATCATTAACCCTGGACAAAAGTGGATGAGAGATGGAATTCTCCAAAACCAAGTTAACTCAGTGACTAATGGTGAATCAAATGAGAGATTAGGCTTAATATTTATTTTAAAATTTATTACATACGAGCTGTAAGCTTATATTACTGCATTAATTGTGCTGTTTTTCCATATATTACATAAAACTGACCTGAAAGAGACTACAGTACTGACATTTTTGGCCAGAAAAAACAGTAAATAAGAAGATAGTAGAGTCATTATATTACAGTGAAAATTGTTAAGTCAAATATTGGAAATAAGAGCAAAATTTTGATTTCAATTACTTTATGTGTTATATTATCTCAAACAACACTGTGAAAATTGAACTGTGCCTTTGAAAATATATATAATTTTGGTATTAATAATAGCCATATATCACACTCTAGTTTCGAATATTAGGGCAAAATAAATGTACACATTAAAAAAAAAGAGAAAAAATTTAGTTTTAACAGAATCAATACTTTGTGATTTTTTTTTAATTTACATGACAAAAAGAGTCACATTATGTGAAAAACTTATAGTTTAATAAGTAGAGCAAATTATTTGTAATAAGAGATAAATCTATGTCATTTGCATAAAATTCTTGAATCTTCTTACCAACATTATCTTTTTTCTGGAGACTTGTAAATTTAATAGGTGTGACGCTTGGTGTAACACTGCTTCCATTAAGAAGGTCAAGAGCACTAAGTCCATCAAAAGTATCAGCATCGGTTGTTTTCCCTGGAGTGTCTTCCAATTCTTCCATATCAAACTCTCTATAAAATTTAAATCAGCCAATGTTATGATTACAGTTGTTTTTTTTAAGTAAAGTGGAAATGCTGTATTCAGTTGAAAATACTGGGTAAGTACCAGGTGCTACTAAGAACGTGAAGCTTTCTGTATGTTCAAATTTATAAAATCTATGTGAATGGTGTTAGTGCTTTGCATATACTCTATTTCTGTGAAACTGTACCTAGTGATGCTTACTATATAATTTTGATCTTACTAAGTGTATCTTCATGTAATTTGGTAAGCTTTTCGTAAACACTACAAGTATA